CAAATTTAAAGGAACCGAGTTCAAGTAGTCCGGAGGCCGGCATTCGACCAGATTTCGATATCGTGAAAGTCTCTTAGCCGAAGCGTTGCTGACAGGCGGCCTTTGTGGAGCGGGCGGGATTTTAGGTGAGCCATCGCTGCGGGATCCAAACTCGTTTCGAATTTCTTTTTGGCGGGAAACGGCATGCGACATCGATTTTAGCGTGCCGAGCCTAATCTCTTTTGATTGTTAGATCGTGCCTGCTTCCGCAATGCTAATTAAGCTTTGAGATCAGCCATTCACCAAAGTGAGGGGAACCTACGCATGCAGGGAGGAGGAGGTGAAGACTCAATCTTGGAGGATGCAACCAACCGTGGCGAATAAACGCCAAGCTGGAAAACCCAAGGAAAAAAATTGAGCCCACTGCACCCAATATACGCGCTCTTCCAAGTGGCTACGTATGCCCCAGAAAACGATTAGGAGGACGGATTCATAGAGCTGACACGCCAATAATGGCTTACCGTTGAAGAGGGGCATGGTAGCTTCATAATGGACAATAGAGTTTAAAAATGAGCTTAATTTCCCCTCAAAAGGAAGTCACCTACACCAAAGCCTTTACTTCAAAATCAGACGAATACCGTACCGTCCCGGAAAAATCAGAGCACTCGTGCTGACAGCCTCAGGGAAAAGTACAAAAAAAAAACCTATTATGCTTCTTTTCTATACTTTCTTTAGTATCAGTTGATCCAGTAAAATACTCTCGAACCATTTCCGTACTATAATTTCAGTATTGGCTCAATAAAAAGTCAAGAACTATGACACTGATATCGTTTCAGGTCATTCACCCATTCCTAGAAGAAAACCAGGAAGTCACATATAAATCTTTATTAAGCAGTATCTCCAGAAATAAACAGGCAACAGATAAAATCAACCGTATCACCGCAAGCAATAAAGTTCTGTGACTATCAATATAAAAAGTAATCCCGTGTAGTGAGGCGAAGTGAAGCTCATCGCAGTTTCTCAAATAGTTAAGTACATCTGGGAGCCCCATTGCGCGATAGCAAGAAAAGCTGATGTAACTAAGTGTAAAGACTAGTACCCTACAAGTATTCACAGTTTTACCTTTTCCAAGACCAGATCGGTGGCCAATAATAGCTGCAATATCGTGACGCGTGTGCGCAGCGTATGGGGTAGCTACATTTGAAGGGATGCACCATAAGACTGAGCTCAGAGTCAGCGAAAAACGATTCATCGACTTGGCCATTTCCGTTAGTACTTATAATTTTGAGCTGTTGACTAAGCTAGGAAGCCGATTCACTGAATAATCCTGACTCGAGAAGCATTAACAGCAACACCTCTTTTAATTGCTAAATATAAATTATCGATTCTGTCTTGAAAAAGTAAAACACTAGGTTGTGGTATCTACAACGATTTTGAGAGCTTCAGTGGACCGGATCTAAGTCGTTCTACGGGAGCAGCTTTGGACGGGTTCACAACGGGTTTTAGTGTTGGTTTTTCCGAGTCGGGCAGATTACAAAGATCGGTGTCACAACAGCATACGGTCACATTCAGTGTCGGATAGTTCTGGCAGCCAGTCTGAAAATAAGTGTAAACTGTTTTCCACGGAGGACACCTTCATTATGTAGCTTTGTTCAAACTAGTGCAAGTGGGGCTTCACTAAAGCGATAAAAGCACGATTTATGGCTTTAACATTCGAGCTTGTTGTAACCTTTGGCTCAAATTACAACTATACAACTTCGATGAGAAGCCTCGACGTGGCGCCTATCAGTTGAAGCCATAAAATGCCCTGAAGACTACGTCACACAGTCATACGCTAATAAACACACGCGATCGGAAAAAGCAAACCAAAAGGTCACCGTTCGAGCGAAAAATCGCCTGATACCGTAGCCACGCTGTCAAAATGGATCCTAGCTCGGTGAGCCTTGAGCAATCGCAATATCCTCAGCATACACTCTAGGGTGTGTGTAAGCCATGACGGCAGAGGCTTTGAAGGGCAATAGCTGAACTGGTTTGAGCTCATACCTAGCCAATCAAGTAGGCTCCGTGTACGATCGAAGATGTTACGAGGTCCCGTCAACCGTGCAAGTAGTCTGGTCCTCCCGGCGAAGAGACTATTCACAGATTAGTCCGGGTGCACGACGAATTGACCCTCCCCTCCAAGGTTGAACCTCTTGAAACAACCAGTATGAAAGAAACTCACATTGCAGACGTTGAGCAGCTTTTGTTCAGTGTTAGGAGTCTGGCAAGATGCTGTGATTTCCGAGAAATCATCCGAATAAGACTCGAAACAGTGAATCATCTCATCTTCACAAACACTTTCGACAAAATTGGAACTCAGCTTGCCAGATATCACTCCTTTAGAACCTGAATTAGCAACCAATGATACGATACCGGAATGTCTTCAACTGATGGATCACCCTTGAATCATACAAACACTCAACTTTTTCTACGACTCTTAAACTTACATAAAAGCGATTTCAGAGTAAACCACGCTATTTGTGGGTGGTACCACTCCCAGCCCACGTTCGGAGGAAAATTTTTCACCTATCTCCTACCTCAAAAAGGAAAACTCAGAACGAGCATCACGCTCTTACAATAATCCATTGGTAGGCCATTGCTCTCAGCTCTGATTATGAAATAACGCGAAAGGGTTTTGAAGAGAGCTCGAGAATTTCGGTTTTGCTTCCATTTTCATTTTATGCACTGCCTTAGGATTGGTTCAAATCCCTGCTTCTTCAATATATGCTGCAATTTTCTGAATGTAAAGCCATTATTCTAGGCTTTTGTTTCTCTTCCCATTGAAATTGATTGACTAAGTGGAGCGTCTAGGTGAATTCCTCCTTGAGCTTACATGTATATGTATAAAAACGCATAATTATCCTACCAAACATAAACTTATGTCATGTCATCTGAAGGAATTGAACTGCAACCTCTTCGTACGCCCTAACGAGAAGGCAGAGAGACTGCTATAAGCAGGAAATAAAATTTAAGGTAATTTAATGCTTTTTCATAGAGTAGCACTTTTGGGAGCCCATTCAGACAGTTAAGAAAATGAGGCATGAGTAACGTAGAGGTAATGGGGACAGTTTATGGGATCAGTCATAACATAGGAATTTAGCGGCAAACGAATGCTTACTAAACATAGTGGTATCATTAGGGCAAGCCAATTTTGAAATGTCATATTTATATTGTCACAGGCCTCCTCTCCAAATTTTGTTTCATTCAAGCTGCAACAATGAAAAGAATGTTCCCCCTGACAAGCCAGCCAGTCAGTCAGCCATTAAACCAGTCAGCAAAAAAAAGACGGAGCAAAAATTCGGCTTACAAAGGAGGATACAGAAAGAAAGCAAGCTTTCTTGTTGTCAGCCTAACTCGCAGCCCAATACACTCAACTTTTTCTACCGGACGCTGTGAATTACGGGGAGAGCCCCCATGAGGTGTTAAATGAGCGCTTAACCCTTTGTGCTGAGAGCTCACCTTTTACTAAAGTTTACTAAAGATACCAATGTTTCTATCCGAAACAGTTGGAATCAATGGAAGACGCGGTCGATCAATTTCGCTTCCGGCCATTTTTCTATATGTCATTCAGATGAAGCAATTTCAACGGATAGATTTTGCGACAAGAGCGGAGTCTGACTATCTAGGACGGGAACATTCACCCAACTCGGGATGGATGCGGCAAACCGCGCGGCGACATTCGTGGTGCCTATCATTGGGGCACAGATTTTAAGTAGATTGGATAAGTGGGGCCAGCTGAAACATAACTACCCTACTTCAAATTTGTGTCCCAATGATAAGCGCCAGAGTCATTTAAATCACTACGGATTTCGCAGCACAGTTTGTCGCCTCCATACAGGATATTCAGTCTAGGACATGTGAATTAATCCCCTACACACTAGCTATGCTAAGGCATCAGTTATTTTGTCAGATTTTCGGGAACATTCCACCGTAACCTCGGGGAAACACTATCTTATTTCGATCAATCAAAGTATGAAATTGTGATGCGAACGTTTCACTTGGCAGAGATTACGAAGTAGCTCAAGGAGAGTGCAATCCGCTCGGATTAACCAAAATTCCTCATCTCACGTTGCCACCGATTGATTACCACGAAAGCTTATGTTGGCTTATGAAATGACTATTTTAAAAATATTCTCTGTCAAAAGTCGAAAGAGCATTTGTACAGACTGTACTATCATAAGAATGAATCCCCGTGATGCAGTGCAATCTAGAGATCATAACTCGGGAAAGAGGTGACGAATATGGGCGCGCGAGGCATCCTTAGATAGAGTATAAAACGTATTACCAAAAATATTCTAACGAATACACCTGACCAT